GGCCACGTAAACTGTCAGTGTGGAGGGCGACATCCTACACTCCAACCTGTCCTGAAGGAAAGAAAGCACAACACTGATCAAGCAAAATCAGGGGTCTTCTCGGCGAGAAGCGCACCATTCAGTGAATAGACTCCACTTGAGGTCGTAGGCATGCCTCGTAGAGGGTGTTCTAGCCTGAGTGATGGTATTAACCTTGCCATCGGTAGGTTACCTAAGTCTTCCTCACGTCTATGGACCACACAAGGGTGCCCAATAGTGCTCTGTCCTTGAGAGAGTAGGTCCTCTCTCAAAGCGACCCGCCTTCTGCGTAAGCATTCCGGAGGGCAGCCTGTGAAGGCAGCGGTCCAAAACGTGCAGATCTAGGATTGGCCGGCAAAGCCCTCGCAAGTGAACCTGCCCGCACAATTACTGACATGCCAGCAGTGAGGCAGCATGGAGTGGGTTGGCTTGCCCGGGGAGCTCTGGGGTCCCGCGGGAGAGCGAGAGGCGAGAGGCTTGCTCTTGTCTCGCACCCAAACTCCGGTGGAGGGGCTGCGGGAGAGAAAGGAGAAGATTCCCTCTTCTCCAGATGGCCCACCTCAGGGATGCTTGGTGATCTGGTTACCAAACTTAGCGGTGCCCTGGGGCTAAGGGGGTGGGGGGGTGTGTGTTGCTGGTTTTCCTGCGAGATGCTTGGCACAGCCGCTTGGCCAGAGGTACAGGCGGGGCGGCGGAGCAAAAGCTACAGGCGAGTGCCCTCGGCGAAAAGCGATGGATGTGAAAGGCTCGGTGGGAAGGATCGGTCTTACGATCCGCCGATAGATTGTACCACCTATCGTCTCCGACTGCTCTTTCAACGGCGTGAATTCCGGGGCGAATTCACCGACGGTGTCACTGAACAGGTCAGGCTGGGATATGGGTGAGTTAAGAAAGCGAACTTTGTCAACATCACGCACATCACCAGGTTTAGCCTGAGGTGGCGTTCCTGGCCACTAATGTGTTCATCATCCTTCCCAGGGTACAGAGCTCATGCTCAGTCCTGGGTCAGAACCATCCTCGCGCAGCTGTGCAAGCACCTGCGCTTGGTAGTGCTGGTAGATGGCCATAGCATGCAAGGTGTGGGCGGAGGCACACGCAGCACACTACATAAGCCTACTGTGCACATCCAGGAAGAAGAGTTTTCACACCCCTCTAGTCAGTCCGGCCGTGGGGCTGGGGGATAAACCATCTCCAGAGCCACGGCCGAAGCAGCCTGGTGAAGCACAGCCACAAAGTCTGCTTCTAAATTCCTTCTAGAATCCTCATCATACATTGACAGCCCACCCACCAAGGATGGTGTGGATGGAGGCGCATGCAGATCAGGCAGAAAAAAGTGCCCTCAAAACTGCGTAAGCTTACTGTGCACTTCTGGGAAGAAGGGGACGGAAGGTTTTGAAGGTCTTGCCTCCTTATATCCTCCACATAACACCCATTTAGTCTGTCCAATTGCGGGCTTGGGGATAAACCATCACCAGGCCCACGGCCGAAGCAGCCCGGGAAAGCATGGCTATCATGTCCGCTTTTTAGATGCCAACGCCAGGCTCTCCACCCCCGAAGGAGCAAGCGAGCGGGTTCACATCCTCATCAGACAATGACAGCCCATCCTCCAATGCAGTGATGCACATCTGATCCTCAGTGTCATCAAGTGTGAGAGCGACCATCCAAAGATGGAGCGATTCTCTTTACCTGAAGCTTGGATAGAGCGCATGGAGGAGCGAGAGGTCTGCAGTCCAAAAGCGGCGGATTTACTCTCACGGTAACCCTCAGATCTGCTGAAGTGCCAACCACAGTGCAGGGGACAATTGGGGTGGGTCACTCATTTGCAAGAGCAAGCGTGGTCTTAACTGCGCAACAGACATGACATCACAGTGACTCTATGCACTACCCGCGAGCACAGCATAACATGCCGGACCCCCAGACATGAAACGCTGTGCACGTGCCCATCATTCAGGGACCGGAAACCACCGCATCCAGAAATTCGCGGTCGAAGGAACGTCTTGAAAAAGACGTGCTGCACAACCGTGTTGCTCTTTAAGGAAAGCTATTTTCCTATATACAAACCGCTCTTAGAGGACTGGACCCAAAGGATGCCAGGCAAGGGAGTAAAACCCAACTCGACCGTCTGCCACTGTGTATACGCACTTTGAACCGGGAGAAGCTGCTTCTCGATCTCTCTCTCTGTAGACACAGGTTTTAGATAACCTGAAAGACTCTCTCAGAAGCTTGTGAAAGGCTCTAAAAAGCGAAAAAGGATTTCGAGCATTGCACTAGCCCATGTGTGGGCAAATTTAATCCTGGAGGACCAGTGTCCTGCATAGTTTAGCTCCAACCCTATTCAAACAGACCTCCCTATAGAGTTCAAGTGATCTTGAAGACACTGATTAGATTGTTCAGGTGTGTTTGACTAGTGTTGGAACAAAACTCTGCAGGGACACCAGCCCTCAAGGATCAAGTTTGCCCATCACTGCACTAGCCACATCTTTATAGTATCACTAATAGTCCTTGACGTCGCCAACTCATTGGCCCGATTTTTTGCTCTTTAAGATGATTGGTTTCTGACAAAAAACCCCATAGTGGAATTTTCCACATGGCATTTTAGTTCCCCATCCGAAGGGTAACTGAAAGATGTTTGTTATCCTCTATGTCTGCAGTGTATTTATTCATTTATTTTTTTTCTGGTGAGGGGGCTTTGATTTAACCAGGCTAGATGTGTAGTAAAACTGTCAGTTCAAAAGAAAAAGAAAAAAACATTTCAGTGTCCACACCACAAACACATAGCTGTGCAGCAAATAACAACTTATCATTTATTTATTTATTTATTTATTTATTTATTTATTTATTTATTTATTTATTACCTCTAAAACTGTATCATCATGCATGTATGTATGCATGTATGTATGTTTGTTTGTTTGTTTGTTTGTATGGTTGTATGTAAGTAGGTGTTCTTGTATGTGTTTATGTATTTATTTATTTGAATAACCCCATGTTGCTTATAAAGAGGATCATTCAGATGTGATTTTTAGAGGATTTAGCTGCAGGCAGAAGTGAGAGAGCTGCACAAGACGTGGGCACCTGTTGTTGGCTGTAATTGTTTTAACAGGTAGAGAAGATAACAAAGTCTCAGCCTGAGGGCAGAGTGCTCACAGCATTCACAGGGTAGGGAACTTATAAACTGTAAGTAGCTTTTATTTAATCATCAGAGGACTGCTTTAATGTTTCTATGTGCATGTGTGACTGTGTGCTGGGCATGTGCAGTGTGTGCAGAGAAAGAAAGAAAGAAAGAAAGAAAGAAAGAAAGAAAGAAAGAAAGAAAGAAAGAAAGAAAGAAAGAAAGAAAGAAAGAAAGAAAGAATTATGTGTAAGAAATGAATGAATGAATGAATGAATGAATGAATGAATGAATGAATGAATGAATGAATATTACTGACCCCAATACTTCTATTGAGAGCAGTAACATCAATCTGTTGTATAAAAACGTGCTGAATAAGTTGGTGATTCATTCCACTGTGGCGACACCAGATTAATAAAAAAACTAAGCCGAAAAGAAAATGAATGAATGAACTCAATAAATATATGTACATGAACAATTTTATGAAGATTACAATTGTAGTATCTATTTGTGTTTGACTTTGGTCTTTGAAAATCCTCCCTGAAAACTACAGATCTTAGCAAGGTTAGATGGCTTTTTTATTTGGATGAAATTTGATTTTGAAATATGCCTTAAAAAAGTAATTCACATTGTAAATGCAATACTCTGAAAGTTGTTTTGACTTTTGTTATTGAGAAGTCTGCTAAAAGTCTAAGTAAAAAAAGGAAAAAGAAGTAAATTAAAAGTCTTTTTTTTTGTTAGTTGAACAATCAGAATGATGTTAAACAACAGTAAAGTATCTATTAATACTATGCATTTACAAATTTAACAATTTGATTAAACCTTAATAAAGATCTGTTCACCAAGATAACTATATTAAAAACCGACTCAAACTTTTTTCACTCTCAAATAGTTCCATGACATCATGAGTATTGTAAAGGAAGGTATTTTAAAAATGTTAGAAACATGTAGCCTTTGACTTCCATAGTAGGAAAAACATTTACTATTAAGGTCAATGGTTCATTTTTTTATAATAACTTATTTTGTGTAATTGATATATTTTATTGTTGATTTTTTTGCAAACATTCCTCACAAACATAGCTTTCTGTTTATTGTAAACACACTGAAGTGTTACTATATGCCACCACCCAAACCTGAAAACTAGACACATTTTGATTAGCTTTTGGTGTTATTATAATTATTATTTTTTTATTTATTATTATATTTTTAATCATTATTTATATAAGACATGAATAACAAAATTAAAAAAAGAAGTTCCTCTATCAATTTTTGGTGCTCTTCCATCAAATGTGAAACAATTTTCTGTTCTTTATCTTTATTGTTGTGGTTACAGTTTTAATCTATTATATAAACAGCACCTAAACCAACTATGTGTGTTGGGCCTTTGTCTGAATGAGAATGTCAAATTTAAAAAAGTAATTTGTGGGCCTTGTTATCACTGTGTCCAAGATAAAATACCCTTGATGATGTCCTTTCATCATCTAAATAGTGTTACGCACACAAAATCATCTTAGCAACCAGATAGCACTGCAGTGAAAACGCTCACCTTGGAAACTGCATATCAACTTCTAGCATCCTGGTACCACTCACTTTTCTTTTTTTCTTTGGAAAATGTAAAAGTCTAGTTTCTTGCTCCTATTACTCACTCGATTTTCACTGCCAGCACTTTCTCCATTCGTTGTCTTCAATATGAACTGTTAATTCTCCTGTCCCAACAGCCTGCCATCTCTGTTTTCTTTTTTTCTTATGTAATCCTTGTCGATGTCGCGACCTGCTATTTCACAAAAGCACCTCTATCCTCTCTTTATCCAGCGTTCAAATCATTCACCTCCCACAATTCTCCATGAAAGCTCATTTCTCTGTCTCTCCGCAGGGCCCAAGCAGGACATGATCTATGACTTCTGGCGCATGGTTTGGCAGGAGAACTGCTACAGCATCGTGATGATCACCAAACTGGTGGAGGTGGGGAGAGTGAGTAGAATAACTCTACCTCTGCCTCCGGCTGCCCCGCCACCCCTTCCGCCCACTAATGGACACCATCTATTACTAAACACTGACCACTGCAGTCCACAGCTGACCATTACTGAAGATAAACTTTACCAAGACACCCCATTAGCTAGAGAACGTTCCATCTGACAAATGATTTTTATCGGCTCAGCCATCTTGCGTTTACTGCACTTTCCCTTTGTTACCTTTCCTCCACAAATACCACCATTACTACAGTTGTTGCTGTTATTACTTTAATATCTTTTTGTCTTTTGGATTTATCATTATTATTATGATTTAAGCTTCTTCTTTATTGCAAGCAGTTTGCAAATCAGTTTAAAAACCTCAATGTGCAGTGCAATGTGCACAATACACAATACACAGATTGTCATGATTGTTTCCCACCAGAATAGTATAAATCATATGATCCACATTTTATAACAACTTTACTTTTTATTTATTTATGTCTAAAGAAAATATAGTGATTTAAATATATTATTAAATATGTTATATTATTTTTTTCTTGTGTAGAAATATATATATATATATTATGAAATGTATTGTAGTTGGGTGTTGATTGTCTTTTGTTTGTTTGTTTGTTTGTATTTCAGATGAAGTGCTGTAAATATTGGCCTGATGACAGTGAGCTTTATGGAGATATTAAAATCACTTTACTGAAAACAGAAACGCTGGCAGAATACACCGTACGCACTTTTGCCATGGAGCGGGTAAGTGTGTTAAGAGTGTTAAACAAAATAAATTGTGTCTGTGAAATGTAAATTAGTTGAAGGAGTTATCATGTTGATTTGATAAAATGGAAACTCTGTTGGGGGGGACATGCAAAGTAAAAACAGGTTTTGGTAATATTAATGTTGTTTATGTCTTTTTTCAGCGGGGTTATCCAGCCAAACATGAAGTCTGCCAGTTTCACTTTACATCCTGGCCAGAACATGGTGTGCCCTATCATGCCACAGGACTACTAGCCTTCCTCCGGCGGGTCAAAGCCTCCACACCTCCTGATGCTGGGCCAGTTGTTGTCCACTGCAGGTAGAAATTACTTCCTTGCACTATTTTATAATAGGTCCATATTATTAGGCCCAATAAACCTTTTTTTTTATTATTATTATTTTTTTGTTTGTCTACAGAACGAACCATTGTTCTACTATGAATTACCTAATTACCCAAACTTAACTAGTTAACCCTATTTACCTAGTCAAGCCTTTAAATTGCTCTTTAGGCTTAATTCTAGTATCTTGAAAATAACTAGTAAAATGATATACTGTCATCATGGCAAAGACAAAAGAAATCAGTTATTAGAAATCAGTTTAAATATTTTATGTTTAGAAAATGTGTTGATAAACTCTTTTGTCCTATGTCTGATGCAAACTCTCTATGTTAAACATACTTTGGGCAAAAAAAAATATTCAAGGGGGCTGGCTAATAATTCATAATTCTGACTACCACTGTATATATCATACTATTGACAAACCTTCAAACAAATTGAGAGCAAGTTGATAGAGATTTAAAGGGTCACATGACAAAATGTCATGCTTTTCTTTGTATTTGCAGTGCTACAGTCTGTTTGTGCATAATAAATATAAGATTTGTCTCAAGTGTCAAAGACTAATCTCTAAAACCCAGTACATGGTGACCTGGAGTTCTTCCTTTATCCTCATTTGTAAGTTGCATTGGTTAAATCAGAGATATCTAAACTTGGTCCTGGCATGGATGTTTCTGTCGCATTTGCATGCACATGAATTGAAGTCTATGGGGTGAAAAGTCCAGTGTGACCAACTTTGCGAGCTTGATTAGCTTGCCCAAGTGTGTCTGATTGAACTAAACTTTACAGGACACTGGCCCTTCAGGACTGAGTGTAAGCACCACTGCTTTAAATGAATAGATTGAGATGTAAAATGCAAATGTAGATATTCATTAAACTCCATAGTATACTTCAAACAAAGAATGAACTGAAATGACATCATTTTGACATAACAAATTGAAATGCAGCAACACATAGAGTGGCACAGTAAACTGATAAGATGAAGTGTAAATATATTTGCAGTGGTTACAGGTGTATATTTTATCAGTGGCTTTGAATGCAGCTCAAATTATCAGATTCAAGGTCTGAAATATTTCTTTTACAAAACATAAATTGCTAACCATTATTTTTGTTAAACATTTCTTTGTATACCAGTTAAGGACCTTTCAATATGTATTTAGCAGTCTCTTGTGGGTTTTAGTGCCTCATCTTCACCTTTGAAAAACATATCTCTTGTCTTAAGGCAATATTTTTTTAGATTTAAAAAATAAAAGCATGTTCAGCCTTTTGATGAACTGCTGTAATTTAATATTTTTCATGCATCTGCTGCCTATTTAAAAGTGGAAAT